ACTAACAAATATATTGCTGCTCTTTTCCCCTAGATTCACATTTGATATACCATAGTCTTTGTGTAGATCACCATAGAAACATTTTTTATATGGTTCGATAAAACAAATTGAGTATTCTGTATCAATTTTCTATGGTTCTAAAGTTAATCTTGCTAATATAAACGTTTCTTGTTGTCCGATCTAGATTTCTGTAATTTTTAGTTTTTATTCTGTTGATAATCTGCATTGTTTATTATTTCTAATACTATGGGAAAGTTTGTTTTGAATTTTTGAACAGATTTGTTTACTTCACTTTTTAACTTAATTTTACTGCTGATGTTTAGTAAACTAATCTTTTTAACGTTGTGTGGTTTAGTTAGTATTCTGTGTTGTTTTTAGATTGTTTTGTCTTGTATTTGATTGTCTTACTGAATAAGCTAATGTCTGTGTATAATCGATTTTGGATGACTTGTACAGGGGATTGTTTACTGGTCGGCCGTTTACAATAAAATATGGTGAAGAGATTTGACGTGCATGGAGATAAAAGCATATCTGTTTTTTGATTTATTTTTCAAAGATTGTTTATCCAATGTTTTAGCATATCAGGTATATGTCTAGTTACAGAAATCAGGCTGCTCGTTCCTTTTAATGAGGAACTCTAGCTGAATATTCATGTTGTATCATTTCTGATTAGGAGTTTTATTTCTGGTTCTTTCATATTTCATCAGTATAATATTCTGCGTATTTCGAACATCTTCACTCTTTGTCATGTCTTATTCTATTCTAATTACTTCACCATAAATTCTCATAATTTAATTATTGTGTTTAACTTCTGTGTATTAATAAAGTAAAGTAACGGTTAAAAGTTTCCTATCAACGATTCTATGTGGAAATGTAAAGGTTATCTAAAATGTTTTCATCTATTATACTGTTAAGAGAAAATTTCAAGTTCTAAATTTTCCAGTAATAGCAAGGCATTTCATCATATATTATACCTCTATGTATGATATACACTGTGTCGATTCAGTATAGAATTTCGTTTGAAACAACTGGGCATAACATTATGTTTAGTGGTGTTACATTGTGACATTTGTTAACGAATGATGAGTTCAAGTACATTTGCGTATAAATGAAGGTTTTTGTTGATAAACGATTTTGTGTTTGGATAAACACAAAATCATGAGGTTGTGGTTAGGGATAGTCGACAAGAAACCGTGAGCTTAGGTTTCATACCATCTGGCACTAGTGATTCAATCCCATTTCACTCAGCTCCACAGAGAGAGACGTTACTTGGTAACTTTCCGGGACGTAATCGACCTCCTGTAGGACTGAGATGTATTTACGATTGATTGATCATTGGGTACCATGTATGTCAATTCCTTCTGAGTGCAGATCGATAAAATTCGATCAGTCAACTTTGAAATTATTTTGACAACTAATTGACTGCTTACCAACTCATCCACTTGTAGACAAAATGAGTTCGATCATTTTAAGAAATTCTTTATGTCACCCTATTATTATTACATTATAACTAATTATCAAACAGTTAGTTCCCTACATTTTTTTCTAAATATCTGAATGCCATTTTTATGCAAAAAATTTCTATTCACATTTTTCATTTAATATTTTCGATAATCCGATTTATTCAACATTCATTAGTCAAAGTGTTTGCCATTTTCAAATACAGAATTTTTTTATATCTGCACTCTGAGTGGGGACTCATTCAGTATGCATCTTGTTTAACGTTTACTTAACATTTTCGGTTATAATTGTGCAAACAGTATGCATGTTTGTATACATGGCAATTCCTTGGCAGTTTGACTATCACTTTGGAATCAGTCTACCAACCAGATATAGCTTTTGTATATTCCCCTCATCTTTTTATTCAACACTGTCTGATGAAACTGTGAGCAGTTCTATTTGCATTGAAATATTTTGAACGTATAAACGTGTAGCCTCAAAGTCGGACTAACCGTTTTATAGAATGGAGTTGACTTTGTGAGCGAAATCGAAGGTTTTAGGTTCGATTACCTGTAAGGGAATCATGGATACTCATTGCTCAGGAGTCCAAAACTTCGATCAAATGGGCTTTCAGTGCTTCCGGGTTTTCAACAGCAGTCCCATAATTTATAATCTATGCAACAACTGTTACATCACTATGATAAATACACACTCCTAAAACCAAATACTATTCTCTTTTTTATGTAAAGCGGGTAACATTTAGAAACAGTTCACGTCCCAAAGATTTACATCTGTTAAAACATTTCCAGGGAATAAAAAATCCTTCAATGCTAACATGTCCTGAAAATATTTATCAATGAACGGTTGAATAATCAGATTTATAAATGTTATTTCTAGTTAACATCAGAGTTTGATGACTAGAATATCTAAATTTACATTCTGTACATCAACTGGCAAGCAAGTCTGACTGGCTCAGTTCTTCAAACTATAATTTGCAAGTTATGTTTTGAATAAGTAGCATCTAATCCTATGTCAAGCCCTCATGGGTTATTCTAGGCTCCGGACAGACTGATATATTCATTCTTTTCAAGTCACATTTTGACCTTTAATTATTCGCTTATTAAATTTATCTGTTTCGATATGAGAGTATGTGCTTAAATTACCCACCCTATTCCTAACGTGTCTGTAACTTATTTTTGTCTGACTGTAAACATTGAACCTTCTTCAAAATGATTTGGCTTACTCTCCTTATCCGCTTTTTATTCTGAATATCTGTTTGGATAAACAAATGCTTGAAATAAGTCCCTTCAATGCAACCAGTATTTGGCTTGTTATTACCGCCTTCACACAAACGGAGTTTGCCTAGGTAATTACGTAGTTAAATGGAATATTTATGGACATAGCATTTTCGTACGATCAAACGTAGACCAACAAATATAAGCTTGATTCATTTTATAATGAAAACATCTAATATCAGTCAGATAGTGATAGAAATCGACTCACGAAACCAAATAAAGTGGATTAGAAATGGTCATTTAGCTCTCAAATATTTAGTCCATTCAAGGAATAAGCAGTCGGCCAACCATCTAACTTATTTCATAGTCTTATGATCTAAAATTAAATTGGTTTTAGTAATGAAACAATTAAAATAACAAGTTCTTCAAAAAACCAATTTTTGTTTGCTTGACAGGAAATACTTTTAGCTAAAAAGTTACATAATCAAATGTGTGTAAACAAGTGTATTTGAGAAAACGACTGGGATAAAACAGCATTTGAACCAATATTCTTCTCTTCATCGTTCATCCATTTAGCATTTTAGCTGATGTCAGTTCGTGATGAAAACCAAAAATCTAATTTTTAATACTAACTGTCAACTGTGAATCCTAATTCATCACTGGTTTATAATCCTCATTTAGTCCTAATTATTAGGTGGACATGCTCAAGGTCACATTAGCGTCTCTCAAAGGTCGTCCATAAACCAGTTTTTCCATTGGATAAACTATATTCATTTAATGATATATGATGTACAGAATTGATGGTAGTTACTTTACCGAATTCCATCTACTACTAAGTACACTATTTCACTCATAATTATCTGCAATAAAGTTACGTTAGACATTAGTATCAAACTTAAATCTAATAATTTCCAACACATTCATGTATATATGCACTAATGAAGAAAAGTAGGCTTTTCAGAATGAAGGTTAGTGGTCTATTCATAAAACACTTATTTGTCAACAGACTTAGACACAGCATTGGTTATAATAGAGTCAGAAACATATAAATATAGATGATGTTTAAAAAATATGGTTTCTTGACCAGGTCTCACCAGGTTTTGTTAATAACAAGAATCAATAGAAACGGTAGACATATGAAAGCTATATAAATTTAATCCGATCGATATATTTGATGAAAAACGTATCTAAATGTCCAGGAAAAACTATTACGTACATTCTACATTTTCTATATGTCAAGTGCTTCGTGATTACCAACTACTTCAAGGTACCATTATTAAAAAAAACGTTATTAGAAATACTGTGTACTTCTGAAATGATAAACATTTATTCTTTTGATATCTAACTTCACTAGAAGAAATTATACCCACATCGTTTTTATCGTATTATCTATAGTTTATATATAAGCCAGCCAGTTTTTATTCATTTTATATTGATTGTTTGAATCTTCTCATTGATGTTTAGGACTGCAATTGATCAGTTTCTTATTCGTATATGTGCATCGTACGCGAATCGCCTCAATATTGCCTTAAGCTAGTGGCTATTAGGACTCAGTAGCTAAGTGGATAACGTGATTGCTTTTCAAGCGAACCGTACTAGGTTCGATCCCCAAAATGAACATCAACTCTGAGATGCAAGTACATTCAGTTGAAAAGTCCTAAATAGGATGAAATGCGCATCATACTATTTTCATAATGTTGAATAATTTTCAAAACATCCGTTTAGAATTGTGTTCCTTATTTAATAACTTGTCGTACATACTTTGTTTTTATATTTATTTCTATTATATTTATCAATGATAGTATACTAATCACAACCAATTACAAAATGTTTTCTACATTATTTTACCAGATTATTACTTGCTTATTATTGCTTACAAAAAGCTTGTGAATTAAGGCAATATCGAGGCAATACGCACAGTATGCACATATGCCAATAACAGACTGATCGATTGCAGTTTTAAACCTCGATGGGAAAATACAAGCCAAACAATAACAAGTGAATTACTTCCTTAAGTTTATATTATGTAATTTATTGTATAAGGAGAAGTAAATTAATATAAGCTGTATTTATTTTATTCATTTAATTCAACTTATAGTACATCAATGAAATATGTTTCAAGTGATCTACGTCTATTAGAATTGCCATTTTCGCATTAAGCATAAATTAGTGTTAAGATGAAGTCAGCTGTTTCTTCTTCTTTTGCAACAGTGCATAGAGTGCACTTTTTACATTATTTATAAGTAATTGTATTATTGTGATTTATTTTATTTTAACTTGAATTTTTATACACAAAAAATTATTACTTGTAAGAGGCTTTTTATAATGGAAATTAAAATGAAATTAATGTTTCTAATTTATCTGATATGTGTAACAACAGCTCAAAATGAGAGAACACATAAGAGCGAAAGCACAGTCGATGATGAAAGAAAAACCAGGGAAACAGAAAGCGAACGAAATACAATTGAAACGGGATCGGACTTCGAACGACGCAAGTCTGGCCAAACAGGTTTGGAGACAGTTACGATGACTGGAGCTTCTAGATCTCAATATAAACACAGAAAACAAGGACAGGTCAAAGCTGTTGGAAAATTCCGTTCACGTGGAATGGGTAGATACGGTTTAGTGTCTTCAGAATCTACATATTATGTAATTGAAGGCAAGTTCGATAGATATGGCCGAAAGAGACCTACTAAGTCGAACTTCAAAACTCGAGGAAAAGAAAAGAAATATTCTAAAAAGATTGTTGATAATCAATTCGATATTAAAGGTGGTTTAATTGAAGAACGTAAATATAAACGAACTGGTGATTATCAAGCTAATGGTACTCATGTTTATATTGATCTTCAATCTGATCGCCAGAAATCTTCGTCTTCAAGAGTAAAGCAGAACGAAGACAAAAGTAAAGAAAAGGAAAAGGTGACAAAATCATTGTTTAACAGTACCTTGACAAATTCATTTGGTTTTCAAAGATAAAACACTTCAAGGATTCTGCGAATATGATTTATATTTGACTATAATAAAAGTAATATCGATTTTCATGTTAATAACCTTTTAAAATGATAGTTTGTTGTTTCATTTTGATCTTCACATGCATTATTGATAAATGATAAGATCTGCTATTTATATATTGCAAGCAATACATCGATTTTTAAAATAACGATATGATTAATTCTTAAAAGTCTCTCATGACTAAGACAAATCATACTAAAATTAAGGAGATGAATTAGTTGTTCAGTGCCTCCTGATTTCTGGTAATTGTGTAACTCACATCGATTCGTGATCTCCATAACAAATCGTTGTCATTGAACCCGAGCATTTGTATTTGTATTGAACCAACTCACTCCCATTGTTCTTAGTGTAATCCTGTTTTCGCATAACTGATGTAGTATGTTGTTTATGAGTTAGAACTACAAGAAGGTTTATCTAGCTGTGAGTTTCATTATGGTTTTTTAATAATTTGTAATTAGTTGCATATAGTTCAGAAATACCACTGTGGTTATGAAAATCAAGTCAAACTGATATTAAATAGTAAATTTAAGAACATAGTATGACAACATCAGTACTGATTCTACCCACTACCAAATAATATGAGTAATTATAAACTTGTTTTATACATTCGATTACGTTACAATTGATTAGTCACTGAACAGTGACCAATATCATATTTATCAGGTCCTTTTTAGTGTTGACCTACTCAGATTATTGTTCCCTACATTCCAATTCAAAGTCTTATCACTTTGACAACATGCGAAAAATTATACACGTCAACAAACTTCAGTGAATCATCAAGTCCCCAGTACTACTTCACTCTGATGATGTCAAACTGTGGCGAAAAGTAGTGAATAATTAGAACTTACATGCATTCATGGCCGAACTCGGTGTCTTAATGATTTAGTCTAGGTTGTGGTTAACCCCTACCAATATGGGTAGGTGTATATTTTAGTGGTTAATATAGGTACTTCAAACGCACACATTTATATTACTTATTTCTAGATACAGGGTGTGATCAACCACGTGAATGTCGAATATATCACTTTGCTTCTATTGGTTATCTTAAGTCCAAATACGTGTTTAATTCGAAACCCCTCACTGAATTATTTTCTATCATCCCTTTGTTTGCCTATCTGCCAGTTTGTTTGCCAATTAGTCTTATTGTATCGACCTTCTAGCCTAATATTTGATCCACACTGATTTGTCGACCCATATTTCCGTATCCCACAATCATCGACTTTTAATTTTATCAACTTTGGGATCAAAGTGTCTAAAAACATTCAGACAATAGCATTGAAAAATTCCAGATATCTGTTACAGTCTTTTAACATATTTAGACTAATTCTCAATTAATTTCATTACACTTCGATTCCTGACTATTACAATTCGAATAAAATTGTTAGACGTCCTAAAAATAGTGTAGCAGAAGAAATACCCTGAATGAATGGTATTGTCTGTTTGTTTACATTTAGTTCGATTAAGTCATTTTGTTAACTTATTAACGAACTGAGTCCTCCGTACAACTTATCTATATCATTGTATCTTTATTATTGTTGAGAGTGTATAAACATGTATGCTTGAGCATTGATTACTGCCTACGCATTTATTCACGCTGCTAGCCTTACTATTAACCCCTTAAGTGATTCGATGATTCATTCATTTCGCTATGTATATATATGTCCATGTTATTCATGTTCATTGCTTTCTCTCTCTCTCTTATCTGTACTCGCTTACTCGTATTCGCTGATTCACTCGCTCGTTCGCTTGCCTGCTTGCTTTTCGGCACAACTCTTCCATGCTTGCTTAACGTACCTGTAATTTTGGATATCTGTGTGTGGTCCCATAATACACGTAATCAACACTTCGTATTCGCCTTCTGATTAATATACCGTTGGGGCGTTATCTAGTGACGGTTATCAAGACGAACTGTATACGAAGTTTAAGGATTATATTGAATACCGACCACCACGGTATCCTGAATTTACTCACCACCACATAATTGGTATCGAGTTTTTACTTATTTCTAAAATATATATTAGTTTAGAGCTCTGATTAAGAGTTAAGTGAAGAGAAATGTTTCTCCACTTAATGTCTCGATGGGAATAATTAATGAATTGAAAACTTCACACTGTTATCCTATGAATAACTCAAATCTATCCTTCGTATTTAGTTTCGCCATGTTCATCAATATTTGTATTGCAGCGTCAGTTAAATATCGTTAAACCTTAGCCGAATCGTCCATCAAGCTATACCGTTTCTACGTTAGAGGAGTGATTCTCTGAACGTTGAAATTTTTACTGAATTTCATCAAAGTAAAGGGTAACTAACACAAACACCACTAAACAAGCCCATTTAGCAGTCGGTCACTTTTGTTCAGTCCTACTCTATTTGTATCTGAATGCAACGCTTACTTGTCAATATTTTGTCTGTTCTCAAATCGGGTTATGGAAGTAGGGTAGTCTCGCCACTCCATTAGAATAAGTCAGACCATGTGGTCTTTGCATGGTATGACTTTGACATAGGATAAAAAAAGTTAAATAGCCCAATTATTCAACTTCAACCCGGATAGACTAATCCCTAACAGACATCTAAGTAGCAAAGTATCAGCTCATTTCACCCAATTGTCACAGACTTTGACAAATAAAAAGCTTTCAGGGTAAGATTATAGTTTGAGGACGAGCTTAGAACAACCTCAACGAATCTTCAGCCAGTTGGTAGACAATCAGTAAAACGGCTTTAGTGGATGGATAGCATACGGAAAAGAAAGTGGTAATATTCAAACTTTGTACAACTTTCACATATTTGACAAGTACATTTAATTCTTATACAGACTACTCTGCATCTAAATGGAATGAAAAACGACATGTAAATTCGATTTTCCACATAAAGGTTATTCATATTCATGAAATCTTATACGAACTCGAGTAGATTTTAAGTAACACATTGATCTGACTCAAATTCGATAGTATAATGATGTTAACAGAAAATACATGCCACTAACACTCGTACATAATCAATTAAATTTGCGTTAATAGCTAATGGAATAAAATAAGAACGAATGGAGTGAAGAAATCTCTTATCAATAAATAAATAATATATTTGTAATATCCCAATGAGTAGAAAATTAGACTTTCTGACGTTTCGTGACTTAGTGTAAGTCACTTCTTCAGTGAATTAATAACCAAATTAAAATTAATCCAAGTTTAAACAAATGTGGAAGAAACCATTAAATTATCAGAAGGGGATTTTGTGGTTATTATAGTACGTTAATAGTTTAATTCATGAGTCAAGTGAATCTAGATCACCATGGGAAACCTGGAAGCACTGGACGGCCGTTTCGTCCCACTGTGGAACTCAGCAATGCGCATCCACAATCCTACCTCGCGAGATTCGAATTCAGGACCCATCGGTCTCGCTCGCTCTAGACCACTGAACCGGCATCCAACAGTGTTAATGTCTAGCTTCAACCAATCTACGAAATTGAGCCACTGTCCCACAGTAGTACGAAACGGCCGTCCAGTGCTTCCAGATTTTTTATGGTGGTCTAGCTTTAATTGACTCATGATCTCAACTATTAAATCATAAAATCGTTTAAGTACTTTTGAGGGAAAGGATTTGATGAAAGTTCATTTAAAAGCTCACTCTGATACCGATAACCAAGGCCACAAGAGTGGTTGTACCAACTTCTTTTGGAAGCAAACGTTATTTCTGCAAACATGTATTACGATAGCTTCAGTAATATGCAACGAACAAATCGATAAAACATGTGGTAAATTTGATTAGTAATATTTCATCTTTGTAAATCATACATTAATATATTTGTGTAGAGCCGTGATAAAAAACTAATTGGAAGGAAATTTCTTCTCTCTATTCGTTATTTTTATTCAATGTCAAAATGAGAACTTTCACCTTACTGGAGTGAAATGAGTCAAATGCGAGAATATATTTTGGATACATATATTACATATACTGGTGGCCCTAAGCAGACAATAAGAGAAACAATACGGAGAAGCTGACCGAAGAACGCAAGTGTGCCAACTCGCCTGTACTATTCATTACAAACATTAATGTTGCTCAAAATGGCTAATGAGTAGTGTGACAGGAAGACACTGGATAAGACAGTGAGTGATAGACAGACAGACACTTAAGCAAAAACAAGTTGCACAAGTATGGAAATACAAGGACTTAAAAATAGGACGTGTATGTTTGCTGAAAATCACAGTTTCCTATGAAACGTTAGTGTTGCTACGATAGTAAAAGTGAATCATATTTAATTACATGCTGTCTGAGTTATAAAAGTCTATTCAAAGGCTTAATGAGTTATGTATACAGTAGGACTCCACTGATATTAAGCCACCCATAGTGTTTTGGTACCTCTTAGGGTGAATTTTGAGGGTATGACCATAAATATCAACGAAATAGTGATTTGTTTAATTGTTATTCAAATGATATGCTCAATTTAACCATGGTCAAACTTTCTTTATACTAAAACGAGTAGTTGTAAATCATTACCATTTGAGATCTGATTAGTTGAATTTCATGGAAAGCATTTAGTTGTGATTGGATGTGGAATTCTTATTATTTTTCTGAAAATTATTTTATCAAAAATATCCGGGAAACTGGCTTACATTCATTACACGGTTATTGTGATTCCTGATCCCTAGTGATGAAATTTTTGGGTATTATCACAACCAACTGTATTTGAACACGAAATTACAGAATATCTCACTAAAATCTGGGAACCATACAGTAATACTTAATTTGCAAAATTATCAATCCACTGTCTCAAACTTGACTGTTCCTTTTGTAAATATCAGTCCATCGTCTCAGATTTCATTGTTCCTGCATTTTCATACCAATTGCCTTCCGTTTTCGTTCTTTCCTTCTCGATCTTCTACTGAAATATATTCTATTTCTGACTATTGTTATATACTACTTATATGAATATAAGTAGCTCACCACAATTTGTTTACTAGTAAATATCTTTTGACCTGTAATGAATTGTTACTTGGTCGATAATTGTAAATTTTTGTAATGTGATTACTTAAAATCAATGTAGCATGAACCGTTTTGATCATATATCAAAATTT